TCTGAGGTATACGGACCGAATAAGGGCAGAAGGTTTGTTTTTTTGTTTAGTCAGGGCTTGATGATCAGCACAGACTTGGAGGGCCGAAGGGCCTGTTCCCGTGCTATACTTCTCTTGTTCCTTTTTGTTCTTCTAAAGGAACGGTTTTCCCCAAACTTGTGTTTAATTGAAAAGGTGCAATTGTGTGGAAGCTATACTTATTCATAGTCAGGCAAACTCTGTCAATCTGGGTCGAAAAGACAGGCAGAAAGTCCAAACATTGGCATCTCTTTAATTCAGCAAAAGCTGGGGTGGGGTTGTAGAGTGCTACTCCCTGGGGTGTGTGTGGTCATACGATGGCAATGTAACTGAACCAGTAACCAGAACCCTAGGTTATTGTTCTAGGGGCATAGGTTTGAATTATGTGAAAATCCTGGAATTAAAAGCTAACCTAATGGTAACCATGGAACTTATTACTTATTGTAACAACAACAACAACAACAACAACAACAACTTGTTGTAAAAACCTAGCTAGTTCACTAATGTAGAGTTGCTGCAGAAGACTGTGGAAGCTAAGCTCCTATATATTATGGGTTTTTGGTTTATAATGTGCTGTAGGGAAGGACAGCTGCCATCTGGTCTAGCCTACATGTGATTCCAGACCCACAGCAACCTGGTTGTTGGCTGAGCATGAGATGCCCACATCCCATGACAAAATAGAAAAAGTCGTAATGTTCCTGTGGCACAGTGTAGTGTCCCTCTCTTTAGGCCAGAAGACCTTGTTTCAATTCCCTGAATGAACAGTTTAAAATAAGTCATCCCTCATGGCACATCTTGATTGGAGATATACTATGCTTAATTTTGAATCATAACTGTTCCCTTGGGTTTTCCATGTCAATGCCTCAACAAATCAAAGCCCTGCTTCAATGAATTCTTGGTCCCTTTAACATTTTGTATTATTGGGTGGAACCTGGGCATCATGGCCAGCATTTGGCTTGCATTATGGAGGCTGTGAAGACCATAACTTTTCTGATTGTGGACTGAAGTGGGAAAAGGACCAAATAAAAACCATGGACCGTGGAAAGGATTTTTGTACCTTTTAAAAACAAGTAGCCTGACACTCATTGTATGTGCTGTTTACACTGCTCTTTATCTAGTTGCAGACTAAATGGAGCCAAGGGATGTGTACGAATGGAAATAAGTAGCTGATTGGTCTATGGAATGGTGACCTGTTTTCAATGACAAAGGCCTTTTGCTTTCCAACAACTATATGAGTAGGTAGCTGAACAGCTTGTGGGTTTGGTTGCTCATCAGATTTCCAAAAATAAAAGAGTTGTCCTTTCGCTGCAGCAAAAAAAACCCTCACACTTGAAGAAAGTCAGTTTATTTTCCCTCATCAGTTGTTGTATGTTGTGTCTTTTAACCAATAAGTCAGACATTTTATAAGTTGTGAACTTGTCCTGTGGCTGGACTCCTGTGCCTCCTGGTAACAAGTGAAATTGAGTGGGGAAGGAAGATCGAGGGGCAGCAAGTCCTGACAACAAAAAAGGATCACCTCAGTTAACTTTGTGAACATGGACCATTGAACTGCCTTCCCAATTTCTCCCTCTGCTCATGAAACCCATGATTTTTTGTGTCTGTCTACATGAGTATACAGGGGGCTTTTTACAAAGGGTTTAAAGTATTAAATCATACAGTTACAGATCAGGGTTTCATAACTGTCTACCTGTAGCTAGAATCTATTTATTTGTAATAAATGTTAATTCTTATTAAATAGAGAAATCTGGTCTGTGTTTTCTAGCAACATTAGTTTAAAAGACATGTAAATTGGGAATTTTGCATACTTTCATAATTTTTTTATCTTTTTGTGATGTGTCTAGGAATCCCAGGACTTGATTTCCAGCATGCCACCCAAGTGAGGTGTAACAAGGTGCACTGCAGCCTCTATTTGTTTTTTTATTTGCTGTACGCTTCCATTGACTCATGTTTGGAATTGTCCGAAAGCTTGCCTGTTTGTGATGTTCCTCTACTAAATGATGATAAGCTGTATGTGCCCAGCAGGCATTGGGTTTAGAGCAGAAGTGACTCAGATAGGATAGTTAAACGGGATGTAGTTAAGGACAGGTAAACCATGTGACCCAATGATTAAACAGTGGGTGGGGTGAGAAAGTAGGGTTGTATGTGCAAGGCAGTGCCATGAACAACGTGGCTTTGCAGCTGCTATGCCATGATGATGTCGGTGATGGGCAATGCCAGATTGCCAATACTTGCCTGGGTACACAGCAGCCTTTTAAAGATGACTTTTGTGCCAGGGAAGTGTCTTTCAGAAAGACCGAGAGGCGAGTTGTGTTTGGAACAGCAAGCAGTAAAATGGAGACATAATCAGATGAAAGGGACATCATAAGGGCCAGGATAGGTAGTTAATGAGATGAGGTTGGTGAGACACAGCAAGAGATCTTGCTAACCTAGAATTGGAAATGTCTCAAAAATAAAAACACCTCGACACAACAGTCTCTGTCCTGACGAGTGCTCAAAGCTTCAACAGTAGTTTTCTTTAAACCAATACTCAAATTCTGTTCTGTCAAATGACCTCCACTTGTCTGTGTGAGATTTGCTTCAATAGAACTATAATTGCCATTAGCAAATAAACACAGTTCAAGATAGCCAACTGCAGGCTTTGGTTTGGTTGGAGATCAACTTCTCACACTCTCACAGCAGCAACAAAACAGATTATTTGCAGAATAAGGCTTATCTCAAATAATCCTATCCTCCAGGTCTCAGGTACAACATTGGTTAGATTTAGGGACAACTGCTATTGGCCATATCTCTGAAGTTTTAAAGTAAGATATCTGACCATATGAACTTTGTCTGGTTGCCTTATAAAAGGTTGCATGCCCTGTGGATTTTTTTTAAAAAATATTTCTTTATGGGATGATGGCCTCCCTGGCAGGGATAGCGTTTATTGTTCATTTCTGATTGGCCTTGAGCAGCTAGTGGTAAGCTACAGTCATGCAGTGTGCTGTTAGGGAGGGTGTTCCAGGTTTTTAACCCAGTGGCACAAAGGGGCAGTAATGTAGGATTGTGTGCTGTTTACATGTATTTGTCCTTCTGAGTGACAGAGGTTGTGGTTTCAGAGTATCCTGATCATACTTCAGATGTAGAGATACCCCCGACTGCTGCCTACTCAGAGATCACTGGATAACAGTTAAAGCCTGGAATGAGTTCAGCTGTGAATAAATCGGCTGCCACTTTCATTGTATACAAACATAAAAGTTAGGAGCAGAAGTAGGCCATGCAGCTTGTCGAGCCATTCAATACAATCATGACGCCAGATTCCTGCCTTACCCCGATAACATTTCACCCCTTCCTTATCAAGGATCTCTTAACATCTGCCTTAAAAATATTCAAAGACTCTGCCACTACTGCTTTTCAACAAAGAGAGCTCCAAAGTCTTACCCACCCTCTAAGAAAATATTTTTCTCATTGCTTTCTTTAATGGGTTCCCCATAATTTTGGGACAGTGATTTCCAGCTTTAGCTTCTCCCAAGAGAAACATCTATTCCACACACAGCCTGTCAAAATCCCTCAGGATCGTATATATTTCAATTAAGTCACCTCTCGCCCTTCTAAACTACAGTGGATACAAAATTGGCCTTGCCTGTCTTTCCCCAAACCACCTTCCCATTCCAGGTTTAGTCTAGTAAACCTTCTCTAAACTGCTTCCAATGCATTTACATCCTTTCTTAAATTAGGAGACGAATACACAGCTCTGGATGTGGTCTCATTGACATTGTGCATGACTGAAGCATAATCTTTTCTTTATTTAATTCACTTCACAACAATGACATTCTTTTAGCATTCTTAGTCACTTGCAGTACCTCCAAACTAAACTTTTACAAATAATGCACCACTACATCTAAATCGGTCTGTAGCTGAGCTCTGCAATCTCACACCATTTAGGTTATACATTTCATTTATATCCTTCCTATCAATCTGGACAATTTCACATTTACCCACCTTATACTCCAATTGCCCATTCACTTAAATCAATCTATATGTCTTTATAGCTTTCTTATGTACTCTTCACAACTTAAATTTCCTACTTATCTTTGTGTTATCAGCAAAATTAGCAACCATACCATCATCCAAGTTATTTATTTAAAAATTAAGCAGAGATGCAGCATTGATCCCCGTAAAACTCCGTTAGCTACATTTTGTGAACCAGAAAATGACTCTTTTATGTCTGTTTCCTATTATGCAGACACTTTTCTATCCATGCCTATATATTACCCCACACACCATGAGCTTTCACTTTCTAGGATAACCTTTCATGTGGCACTTTTTCAAATGCCTTCTGGATATGCAATACATCCGGCAGTTCTGCTTTATCCATGGCACATGAAAGTTCAAAGTTTAAAGGGTAAAGTTCTCAAAGAACTCCAGTAAATTTGTAAATAGACATAATTCAAATGATCAATAAATATGATTTCCTTTCACAAAACCATATTATATCTGCTTGCTTACCTTGATCTTTTCTAAGTGCCCTGCTATAACACATCTTTTATTTGCTTCTCACATTTTCCCTATGACAGATGCTAATTTGATTTGCCTGCCAATTCGCCATGGAACTGGAGGACTACCAATGCCTGTGGAACCATATCCAACAAGAATTAGTTGCTTTCAGGACAGCAGGATATAAATATTGATGGGAAAATTAATGAACATGTTTACTTTCTTGTGCTACATCTGCAAACACACCAGTTGCGACCCAAGTATTTATGTTCTCAAAGCTCTCAAAAGAAAACAGGAACATGAGAAATTAATCCACAGCAGTACTTCATCATGGCATTAAAACAAATGTAAGTGCAGAAAACAGCTCATTATCCTGTAACTACCACTTCAACTTTCAGCAGCCCTATCAATCTAAACACAGTGTTCAGTCGGACTTAGTCAGAGCAAACCAAGTGCCTTCACAAGTTCAAGCTCTCTTAATTAAAAACGCAATTTGAAACGGTATTTACCTCAATGCGAACCTAAAGCAGAAACCCCTTGACGGTTGTTATTCAAGAAACGTCAGCACATGTGAGAAGGTGACCTTTCTCTGCAAGACATTTTCACCCGCCAGTTTAAACTGCAAATATTCAAAGTCCACATTCTCCACTGGCAAGCAGCCAAAGTTTCCTACTTTTAGAAGGAACAGATCCACAAGGTGAGTGAGCGCTGTCTCACTTCCCCCATGACGTCATCAGCCACACACCTGATTGCTGACATCTGCATGCATTTGACAAAAGACAGGAGAAAATCAGAAACAGAGGCAGGCAGCAATGAAATCCAATACTTAACCCTTTTCTATCTCACATTCAGGACACAGCATTTTGATTTACAACTGCAGGCAGTTTTAATCCCACCGGAGCAGCTGCTAAACCTGGCAGAAAATGTATGGTGTAAGAGCCTTTCTAGAAAATAAACCCTAAAGCTGCCACATGGCCCATGAATGTTTCAGGTATGAGTGACATAAAACAAGCAAGCCACAGTTCTTCTTTCACTGCTGAAAGTATCTATTCCTTTCAGGACATGGACACAGGCAACACTTTTATACCAATCAACAATGCTAATTAGCTGAAGTGATATTAACACGAGACAACATGGGTAATATTATTGCAGAGATAGTAGGAACTACCGATGCTGGAGAATCTGAGACAACAAGGTGTAGAGCTGGATGAACACAGCAGGCCAAGCAGCACCAGAGGAGTAGGAAAGCTGACTTTTCGGGTCTAGACCCTTCTTCAGAAATGGGGGAGGGGAAGAGGATTCTGAAATAAACAGGGAGAAAGTGGGAGGCAGATAGAAGATGAATAAAGAAGAAGATAGGTGGAGAGGAGACAGACAGGTCATAGAGGTGGGGTTGGAGCCAGTAAAGGTGAGTATAGGTGGGGAGTTAGGGAGGGGATAGGTCTGTCCAGGGAGGACGGACAGATCAAGGAGGCAGGATGAGGCTAGTAGGTAGGAGATGGGGGTGGGGCTAGAGGTGGGAGGAGGGGCTAGGTGGGAGGAAGGACAGGTTAGGGAGGCGGGTACAAGCGGGGCTGGTTTTGGGATGCCGTCGGGAGAGGGGAGATTTTGAAGCTTGTGAAGTCCACATTGACACCATTGGGCTGCAGGGTTCCCAAGCGAAATATAAGATGCTGTTCCTGCAACCTTCGGGTGGCATCGTTGTGGCACTGCAGGAGGCCCAGGATGGACATGTCATCCAAGGAGTGGGAGGGGCAGTTGAAATGGTTCACGAATGGGAGGTACACCACAACTTCCCCACCACAGTGATCGAAAATGCCCTCGACCGTGTCTCTCGCATTTCCCGCAACTCATCCCTCACACGCCCTCCCCACAATAACAACCAAAATGGAATCCCCCTCGTCCTCACGTACCACCCCACCAACTTCCGGATTCAACACATCATCCTCTGACACTTCCGCCATCTGCAATCTGACCCCACTACCAAAGACATTTTTCCCTCCCCACCCTTATCTGCTTTCCAGAGGGACCACTGTCTCCGTGACTCCCTTGTCCGCTCCATATTCCCCACTAGCCCCACCACCCTGGCATTTTTCCCTGCAACCGCAGGAAGTGCTACACCTGCCCCTACACCTACCCCTCATCCCCATCCCAGGCCCTAAGAAGACCTTCCACATCAAACAGATGTTCACCTGCACATCTGCTAATGTGGTATACTGTATCCGCTGTTCCCGTTATGGCCTCCTCTACATCGGGGAAACCAAGCAGAGGCCTGAGGACCGTTTTGCAGAACACCTACGCTCGGTTCGCACTAAACAACTGCACCTCCCAGTCGTGAACCATTTCAACTCCCCCTCCCACTCCTTGGACGACATGTCCATCCTGGGCCTCCTGCAGTGCCATAACCATGCCACCTGAAGGTTGCAGGAACAGCATCTCATATTTCGCTTGGGAACCCTGCAGCCCAATGGTATCAACATGGACTTCACAAGCTTCAAAATCTCCCCTCCCCGACCGCATCCCAAAACGAGCCCAGCTTGTACCCGCCTCCCTAACCTGTCCTCCCACCTATCCACTCCTCCCACCTCAAGCCCCACTCCCATCTCCTACCTACTAGTCTCATCCCGCCTCCTTGACCTGTCCATCCTCCCTGGACCGACCTATCCCCTCCCTAACTCCCCACCTACACTCACCTTTACTGGCTCCAACTCCGCCTCCTTGACCTGTCTGTCTCCTCTCCACCTATCTTCTCCTTTATCCATCTTCTATCTGCCTCCCACTTTCTCCCTGTTTATTTCAGAATCCTCTTCCCCTCCCCCATTTCTGAAGAAGGGTCTAGACCTGAAAAGTCAGCTTTCCTACTCCTCTGGTGCTGCTTGGCCTGCTGTGTTCATCCAGCTCTACACCTTGTTGTTTCAGGGGTAATATTAAGAGGCATTTTAAGAACTCTGGTGCCCATTCTTCAGGTGTGACCAATTATCAAACTGTGAGGAAGCATAATCACCTATCCCAATTCAGTACACATCCCTATCCATTACAGATATGAGAGGAATAGGACTTCTTGCTGATGTGCAACTTTCCGAACTCAGGACACTGAGGCCACTTGTAGCAATCTCACCAACTCTCTGATTGTCACCAGAAACCAAACATGAGGACCTTACTGCTCTCAAATCCTCAATTAGTTTAGGATCCTCAATTTCATACTGAGAAGTAAAATTTATGATGAGAAACCTAGGTGAAACCAATTATCCTAAACTAATTGAGGATTTGAGAGCAGTAAGGTCCTCACGTTTGGTTTCTGGTCACAATCAGAGAGTTGGTGAGATTGCTACAAGTGACCTCAGTGTCCTGAGTTCGGAAAGTTGCACATCAGCAAGAAGTCCTATTGCCTTCTGGGCAATTAGGGGTGGGCAGTAAATGCTGTCTTAGTCAGTGATGCCCTCATTCTGTGAATTAATAAAAAAAAACTCAAGCCAAAACGTAGGTCCAAATGACTGGCTATCGAATTGAGGTTAACGCAGTCAACTGCAATTTGATATTATCGAAAGAAACCCAAAAATGAAGTGAGAGAAAGTCACCTCATTTCTATTTAGTGGTTTGAACACTAAGTCACAGACTTTGTGCCATTTTGCTTATATTTTCCACTCACAACATTCCTGGACGAACTATTTGTCTCATCTGTCCTGGCTGTCCCATGCGTGAATGAATGTGTTTTTCAATTTATATAGTTTAAGCTTACATATTAGTAAATCAATCATTTTTTTGCTACATGTTAGAAGATAGATTTGTTATAATAAATTAGTTTCCTTGTCCAATGTTAAAACCTGGTATGAGTTTCTTTTATTTTACATAGTGGTCACAGTCAGACATTATCCTAGAGATAAGTTTGCTAATATTTCAGATTGTGATGACTTATGAAATGGAAGAGAGCCTTGATTTCACGAGCACTATTCCCAATGACTCAACTTTCTGGACATGCCAAAGCAGACTTGCTGCTATGAAAGCAGTTTGCTGATGTCATGTCTGTCTTAATGGAGAAGTAGTTCAGGTCTGTCATATTCCTGCCCTGCCACTAGCTATGAAATTGACAGTGGTGATGAACTTCTTTGCTGCTAGGTAATTTCAAGGTGTGGCTGCAGACCTGTGTGTGTATTGTAAGGAATTGTCCATCATAGCATTCGGCAGGCAATAGATGAGTAGGCACTGCAATAAACTAATTTCCAGACGGATAGGGCCACTCTGACAATGGAGGGTGTGCTTTATCTCTTTGGCAGATTTCACTCAGGTACAGGACATGACTGATGGCACCAATATGTCCACGAAGACCCTATCCAAGCAGCCAAGTGCATTTATCAACAGAGAATTTAAAGATTCCTATCCTGAAGTTTTCCAGCTAAATCATAGTAAGTCAACTTCCAGCATAGCCTAAACTCAATGTCAAAGTACTTAAGGAGCCTACTATTTCCTTAGACCTTGTTACACTACTCTGCAGTTTGATCTTCCAAGTGATGGAGATGATGAATAGAAACAACTCCATCACTGGATTTTTAAGACTTCAGTAGGCATCTTGGAACATAGTGAGCAAGCACCAGGGCTGGTTTCATAAGAATGATAGAGAAATGTCTTCTACATTCTCAAAGAAAAAAAACTTGCACACGTAATCTTTTTAGCAGCCCCACAGTAAACAACCAGACCTCAAGCCTATAAAAATGCTAAACACATGTCCCAGCTTGCTTAAAGGGAAATGTAGAAGATTGATGGAATGCAAAAGCTGACGAGCTGGAACACCAAACAGAGAAACGATCCACAGTTTTACTGTGCATTGAAAGAGCACACATGCCTCCCATTCCCACCACAGTAATTGCTCCTATCCTAACAAGAAACTAATCACTTATGAGGTAACTCTGAAGCCACTTGTGGTGTAGTGTCCCTATCTCTGAGTTAGAAATCCCAAATTCAAGGGAAATAAGTATAAAAATCGGGAATAAAAGCAAAATATTGCAGACACTGGAAATCTGAAATAAAATTACAATAAAGAGAAAAACACTTAATGTTTTAAGTCTGAGCTGCGTTTTTTCAGAATTTGAAGCAAAGTCATATAGGACTCAAAACATGAACTCTCTTGTTCTCTCTCCACAGATGCTGCCAAACTTGATCAGTTTCTTAAGCACTTTATATATTTCAGATTTCCAGCGTCTGTGGTATTTTGCTTGATTTCCCTATTGTCATACTCACTTTCCTGTGAAAGAAAGGCCAACACTCCATTTGCTTTCCTTACTACCTATTGAGCTGGATGCTAGCTTTGAGATTTATGCACAATAACCCCGAAATCCCTTTGTGCTGCAGTGTTCTGCAGCTTTTCTGCACTTAAATAATACTTAGCTTCCTGTTCTTCCTGCCAGTGCCATATTATATTTCACCTGTCAAGTTTCTGCTCATTTACTTAACTTGTCTGCATCCCTCTGCAGAGTCTTTATGACATAATCACCACTTGACTTCCCACTTATTATGTAATCTGAAAACTTGACAATAGTATATTCATTTCGCTCAAAGTCATTAATATACATTCCAAATAGTTGTTGCTCCAGCACAGATCCTTGTGGCATTCCACTAGTTACAGGTTGCCATTTTGAAAATGCCTACTTTATCCCAACTTGCTACCTCCTACTAATTAGCCAATCTTTGATCCATGCTAATAAATTACCTCCAAT